GTGCCCATGATGTTCTTCCACACAAGAACAAATCCAGGCCATGCCCAAACGAAGGGGTTCAAATGTCCATGAGCACTTGGCCCATAGAGAAGTTCTTATCATGCTTTGCTCTTGTGAATCAATCCTTTCAGTTAAGGTGGCTGGGGGATATAATTATGTTTTTATCTGCAATTACAGCTTTAAATTAGGATCCATAGAGGCAGCTACAGCCCTGCCATACCAACAGTCCTGGATGGCTCTTCTGTTTCCAGAGAACACACTTCTGACATAAACTCATTCATCTTCTATTAAAAATATAATAAAATTCATAGGACAAAAACTTAGACATCAATATAAGAAAAAGACTCAAGGAATCTTACTTTGCTTTTGTTTTTAGGTATTAAGCCAGCAAGACTTTCTTCCCTGTGGTTGCTTTCCTTAGGGACTTTCCATGGCCACATCTGGAATAAAGCAGGTGGGCATCAGGCCAGCTCAAAGATGACTCTGTCAGAAGAGGAAAGGAAAATACACATCTATTTAGTTACTATCCTGTATTTCTGGCTTCTTCAGTATAAAATTTTGTTTGAGATGAAGCTTCTGCTGTAGACAAGGTTGGCTTGAGTTTTTTCGATCAGCTCTTCCAGGGATTCTGTGTACCCAAATATGCAATGCTTTCAGTTTGCACAAACTGTGATTATAAAAAAAAAAAAAACCAAACAAAAAAAGACTTTATTAAATGGAAATTTTAATAGGGAATTGGGGCCTTATTTTTAAGAAACCTGTCAAAAAAAGGTATAAGCTTGTGTCAAATTAGAGCTTTTCTGAGAATGAAATTGCAACAAAAGAACCTATTTCATGCATTTCACATTTCATAGCATATTTCATAGTTGTTGTACAAGTTGGGGTAATATCTGCTGTGATTTATAGAGGAACAGAGCTGTAAGAAGCCTCCCTTCTAATTATAACTGGTTATGAGGTACATCACTCATATCAGCCTGGAATTTACTTCCATCTCAAACAAGAGCTTTTTTTTTTTGCCTGTTTATTATCACAAACTGGCCACAGAAATGCTGATAAAGACATTACAGAAATTGTTATTAATGTAATCCCTTCCCAGCTGAGGTTCCTTCTTTTAATGCAGACTTGTTTTGAGTCTTTGTTTACAGGTTGTGATGTGTCAGACAGCAAACACCATCTCTCTTATGCAAAGTTGTGCAATGAAAGCCTTTCCAGTTCCTTGGCTCCATTAGGCAGAAGGGCTGACTTTGACAGAATGTGCAAAAGAACCTATAAATCCAATGATTCCCTCCACTTTTACAGTCAGTGTGTGCAAGGGCTTCACACGTATAGTAGATGTTCCATTTGAATGCAAAACATGCTAAAATTTGTACTGAAAAGCACTTAGGCTTTAAAAACATACCATAATTCTACAAAGAAAAATGCCTGACATATCTTTTGGCTGATTTCAAATTCATATGTATTTTAAATGATCTATATACCCTAAGATGTGCATTTTATACAACAGCATGATAACCATTACCATTCCCCTCCATCTCACCCACGGATGGTCTTGATTTATTGGCCAGTTGTGTCTAGTGCACTGCCCCTCCCCAAATTCAGGCTGTAATTTTAATTTCTGTTGTTGCTGCTGCTGCTGTTATCTGGATGTAGTGCTTGCCATGAAGATACCATGGGCTTACCCTGTAAACATAATTGATGCTATTGAAGATAATGATTTAGGATCTCATCCATCTCCAGCACAGTTTGCCATTACGTGACTTGCTCTTGCAGGGATCTGATTTGTATCACAGACGAGTTGGCTTGATTGCTGTTTTGCCATAGAGTAATAGTTTCCTGGTTTCTCCTGACATGCTGAGTCTCCCTTGATCACTCAGGTGATCAGTCAACACATGAGTTAATTATGGGTGAAGGGGTGTCTGAAGCCCAAAGATCAAAAGATACGCACGAGGTCTTCTCCAAGTCATTACTCACCTTCTCAAGCATCAGGCAGTTCAGATTCCTGCCTCCTGCACTGTCCCTAAAGAAAGGGATAGAACAGTAGGAAACCTGAATCAGAGCCTCTCAAAGACACAAAGTGAAAAATCCAATTTCTCCTAAAGCAGAAGAAAACAATCCATGTGGGTACCATGAGAGGGGTACTCTCATTCACTTATAATTTTAAAAAAGCATTTAAATAATCAATGGCAGCTGTATAGTGGTGGATAACCCAACAGTTTGCCACAAGGCTCTCACCTGCTTCCCCAGTGAAATTTCTTAGGTTTTAATGCCATTTCAGGGCAAGGCTTTCAGATATTGCCATGACCCTTACTGCTGTGCACCAAGAGAATTTATTGGCAGAAACTAGGAGCTACTGGACAAAATCCTGAGAACCCTCCCAAAAGGTGAAGGAAAAGCAGTTCTCTCCAGACCTTTTTTCCCCCCTATTTCAACCACCCTCAAAACTCAAACACACGCATTAACATTCTCAGAAGCTCATTACAACTCCTAACCTGAACCACCTGCAGGAGATTCCCCCCTTTGAGCCCTGTCCTACATCACTCTGGGAATGGGCATCACAGCACCACAGGCCCCTCCTGCTTGAAGACCCTGAGAGCAAAACTCAACTGGTTGGACGAGTCTGTGGAACAGATGGGACCCATAACAGAGAGCTTGTGGTGTTGTGCTGCAGCCCCAGGGTTATTTGTGTGGGGAGGAAGGACCCCTGGGTTGTGCTCCCTGCAGACTTGGGTACCAGCTCATCACCTGCACCCCTGAGCTGCACCTCTATGCACCCACCAAAACTGGTTTCTCCATCTCTGTGGTTTTCATGTTACTATATTAAAGGAGGTGTAACTGAGCAACACACCTCAAAGGTTTATTTCCTAAAATAATATCACTATTGCTCCACCCAAAGTCATCCTGCCTTTATTTTTAAGGCAAAAGGAACTGAATCACTGAGTTGCAGATGAAGAGACACCACCTAAGGTCAAACATTCAAAATCCTTTAGTGCAAGTGTAACCCAGTGCACACAATTCCACATGTACTTTTCTCCCAGTGCACACAATTCCACATGTGCTTTCTTCCACATGCAAATAAATGCTATGATGCACGACCCACTTGCACATATCTGCACGTGCCAAAGGGATTTACACATGTTAATGCTTGGAAAGCAAAGTGGGAGTGTGTATAAAATGGCATGCACAAAGTACATCCATCCATGTGCACATCCCTCTGGAGGCAGCACTACTTGGATGTATTTCTAAGTGGAAAAAACAGTTAAAAAATTGATGTGTCACCCTCTCTCCAAAACCTAATGATTACAGTCTGTTAATTACACCACATCTGTTGGAACCTTCAGCAAATAAATTGTGGACCTGATCTATTATTTGTAACACCAACAGAAATTACAAGTAACATTTTAAAGTTGCACATCTGCAAAGTGAGAGCAGAAGCAAACCATGCCATGTTATTCCTACCCTGCCACTTCTCCATGCAGGTGTTATATATTGTGACAAAGCAGCTATAATAACCTTTTCTAAATTTTACTGTCTGCAGATGGAGAAAAAGCAGTGAGAAAATATAAAGACTCATAGAAAAAGGAAAAGAACATTAAAAAAATGCTCAAAACATCATGTGCAATTAGTCCCAGAGTAGCTCTGACACACTGTAAGCCACTGACATTGCTTTGAGTGAGATTCCCATAGCCTGGGATTCACCAATTGCTTTTGGATGCCTAAAAAATAAGTGAATCATAGAATGGTTTGGGTTCGACCTTAAAGATCATCTAATTCCAATCCCCCTGCTGTGGGCAGGGACACCTTCCACTGGAATGGCAGAGTCTGGCAGGGAGAGAGTCATCTCAGCACAGAAATGCTTTGACTTTAGGTTCTAGATGTGGCACCTCTACTCCTGGTGTGGAATCCACATGGATTTGCCAAATCCCTGTGCTTTTCAGGGCACTTGGACACTGGTACAAACACACAGAGTGACTGATCCACTTGTGTGGGAACAGCTCTGTGTCCTGCCTTGTGCAGGACTCTGAACCACAGCCCCACTTCCCCCTCCTCCTGTTCTCCACAACCTGGTGTCACTTGGCCATGGTTTCTCCAGTAGAACAATTCAGCCTTGAAGCAAATAACAGATTTTTTTCCAACAGCTGGCCCAGCAAACAATGCAAGATTTGAAAGTCAAGCTGGATCCCTTCTTCCTTGGCTTCCTCAAACCAGCAGCAACAGCTCCCGAGAGCAAATGGCAATTGTCTGGTGTGAACTGGGGCAGAATTGCCACCTTCTGCTGTGCAAGAGAAACAAGAGCCTTTGCACTCATTATTGTTACTGTGGGACCTGAGCATTAGTGAGCTGGTCTTGTCAGACTGCTTCAGCCCCAGCCCACTTCTTCACCAGAAAGCAAATAACTGCTCAGGCTGAAGTTTATGAAACTTTGGGGATTCACAAACGTGTTCCATGAATTTCTGGCAGTTGTCTGAACATTCACAAATAATGTGATGCCAGTAATCAGAACAAGTCAAAGCTTGACACTCCTATTCATAAATCAGGAGATGTTTTATTTTTACTGCTTGAACAGTTCTGTTCCCAAGCACGATTGGATTTGAACCATCAAGCTGGAGGTGAAAGGACCTTTATTTAATGTATTTGTTTAGGTTTATACGAAATATTAAAAAGTGTCTATGCAGGATTCTAGCCACCTTTGCCATATATTAAAGAAACAGGCCAACTCAGACAAAAATAAACTTTGTAACTTCCAAAAGCCAAAGAAGGTACAAAAAAGCCTCCTGGGCAGAGACCTCAAATCTTTCTCTATGAACTGAAAACTTTGCACATACTAATTCTCTCTTCTCCAGAGCTTGGGACATGGGGAGATGTGTCCCTCAGGTGAGCAGAACTGGGACTCACCCAGGTTGGAGTGGACAGGGATCATTCAGTCCTGCTCCTGCTGTGGAGATCTATCCACTGTTCTCTCCTTTAAACCACGAGGACTTCAGCCAAAGTGCCTCTGTGGCTTGCAGCTGCAGTGGTGTCACTGGGGAGACAGAGCAATCCATTAAGCAAAGAGGATCCAAGACCCAAGATTTTATGCCAAGAATCTCTTTGAGCCTCCCCCACAAGCCCACAGACACAGCCCAGCCCTGGAGCCCCTGCGTTAGCTGCTGATGGGGAGAAGCCCCCCGTGCACATGGACACCCTCCCAGAGTCCCACCCTGCCCGTGTTCCTCCAACCCTGCCCTGTCCCCAGCCTGCCCAGGGCCTTCTGCCACTCTTGCACATTATGAAGGAGTTTCTCATTCAACCAGTTCCTCCTTTCATGGTCAAAAAATAGTAAATTTATGATCCCAAAAACAAAAGAGGGAAGAGAAAGCCAACCTATTGACTTCCAGGCCTAAATTAAAACAAATCCATTAGGATTTTCTACCACAAGGGAGATGGTCCCTGAAGACCAGGTTCTGTCTTTCTGCTGCTGGCACCAGCCAAGAGCACCACTCCCTGTCCCCCAGCACCCTGCTCCCTGTCAGCCTGCCCTCAGGCTGGGAGCAGCACATGTGGGGAGACACAGCTTCATAAAATTGGCCTTTCTCCTCCTACAGTCAGAATGCACAAGTCTGTCAATGACAGCTTGGTCTCTCCAGAGACAATCCCAGTTCTCTTGGAGAGACATCCTTTCCAAAGTAAACATGAAAGTCACAGAGGATCAGCTCTTTGCTCTCTTCGAATGCTGCAGAAAGGAAGTGCCAATAAAAAAGATTCCAAGAGGTTGTCACTCTCTGACAGGCTGTAGGTGACACTTTCAAAACCTTCTATGCAAACAAACCCCACTAGTTTCATGTTTTTTCACCAGAAGCTGGCAACTTTAGGAAAGGGTTCCTCTTAAAACACTGAGCTGAGATTTCTCTTGTGCAACAAGTGCCAGTAGGAGACAGGCTGAAGGAAGAGCTGTCCCTTCTGTCCATCCTGACTCTCAGCAAAGGATGAACTCTTTTGGTCAGAGTGAACTGCTGGAGCAGCTCAGCCACTCTGCACAACTTGCCCTGTGCCCACCTTCACTGAGCAGGGGATGTGCCTAATTCCCAACTCTTTCTGCATCCTTATTCCAGCAGCAGTGCTCCCTGTGCAGCTCAGTGTCTGGGCATGTCACCACTTGATCTGCTGGGACCCCACAAAACAGGCTTTCCTGTCCCTCAGTCCCTTGCAGGAGCTGCAGGTGAGTGCCAAGCACTCCCAGGAGGGGCATGTTCCTCCCAGAGCCCACCCCAGGGCCTCCTCTCAGGCCAAGCCATGTCACATAAATGCCATTGCTGCTTCACTGGATTGCTCAGAAGGTCCTGCACTCCTGCAGAAGCTCCACTTCCCAATCAGAGAGGTTCAAATAAGCATTTCCCACATCCCAGAACGATGCTCTAATTCCCTGGCTACCTGCTCTTCTCCTCTCCTCTTGTCAAAGCCTCCCTATTTCACAGAAAGGGTTCAACTCTCACTCAGTGAATGGGCAGAGGAAACAACATGATTTTATCTTTCATCCCACGAAGGATGATCACTCAGGGCTCCTGCTATTGCCCTGGGAGCTGTTTTCTGTAAATAACAATGTGAAAACCAGGAGCTGTTCTTAAGAGAGACAATGTCACAATGTACATACAGCAAAGACAGGTTACCTTGGATTTCTTTGGCAACATCACAAACCTCCAAAAAGAATGATGGACAAAAGCTCTTTTTAGGACAGCCTAGAAAAGTCAGAACATTTTTTTCCTGGATTTAACCTCTAAGTCACTTTTACCCAAATCAAACCACCTGAGCAGCTGATTGAGGTCCCAAACCCTGGATGAAGTGAGGGGTTGCAGTGCCAAAGTCATTGTTGACTTATGACACATTTGATATCTGCTCATGTTTCCTGAGCTCAGGGGCTCGAAACAGCCATGGCTTTTTCCTCTAAGGACACTCAGGTGGGAACCCACATCTGACAAGTTCACCCAGCCCAAAGGACAAACCAGCACCTTGGCAGTACATAGATTGGGGTCAAGTCCAAAGTCAGGGCCAAATTCATTCAACAGCAGGTGAATTTTTGACTTCTCCCTGCACCTCACTGTCTCCTGTGCAAAGGACACAGAAGCACAAACTTCCAGGATTGTTTTGTGGAAAAATTATGTAAAGGTTGTGCAGGTGCCTCTGATAGAGACCATTGAAGCAGCTGAGGCAGGGAGGAAGGTGTGTTACCAGCTCTCTTCCCACCCTCAGCACAGGGGACATGCCTGCCTCTGGATTTCAGATTCATTACAGCCAGGCAGGAAAAGGTGGCTCACATGCACACAGTGCTTACCCTGCTGATCAATAAGCTTCCTTCCTGCCTGATAACCAAAGCACTTATAATATTAACAGTGTTATTTAAGATCTGTGGAAACTTTGTCTGATCCAAGCAAAGCAGAAATATCTTGACCTAGATACTGAGAACAAAACAATATTGAGTAAACTTCAGGACTGCCAGTTCATCTATCATTGCACTTGACATTTTATTGAGGAATTGGAGAAAAACTTTTACCCCAAAGATTCTTATGCCAACATATTTATTCAGAGAGAAAAATCTGACACTTACCCCTTCTCCATTTAGATTAAAAGGGGTGTATTTTACAGTCCATTAATAAGGTACCTGAGCTGCCCTTTCAGTGACTGCAGATAACAACCACAGTTATATCAGGAAGCATAAATGAGACTCATCTCTACTTCTGTCTGAGGATAAAAGGAGTGTGATGAAAGAGCAAAAGAACACAGTATTTCCACCATTTTACAAGGTAGAGAGAGGGACCTGCACTGGAAGAGATGCTGACTGATGCAAAATGGTTCAACAAATGCTTTGAGAAGCACCATCAGACTGTTGCTTCTTTGGGCTTTCTGTAATGCTGGGCACGTGCAGCACCTTTGCAAAGCAAGGCCTTGTTTTCTTCAAGGTCTATCCCAAAATTCAGGAGTTTCTGCAGAAAGGCACACCTTCACAACTTGTCTAACATATCCAACCACAAAGCTAAGGGACAACTTGAGCATCCAACCTTCTGTCTGGGAGCTGGAGCCTCACTGGGTCTCACACTCATCTAGCAGATTTCTTCTTATTCCTCTTATCCATGCAAATTTAGGTGCTTACATTTACATATTTCAGCAGGTGGAGCATTTTAACTATTTACCTACCTGGAAGACAGACAGCTTAACAAAAGGTAGAAAAGGAGAAGGACTTTCAGAAAAGATCAAATACATCATAAGCTTGGCAGACACTGTAGCCCTGAAACAGCAGTTTGAAACTTGCACCGTAACAAATCTTCCCCTGTACATTATCTCACAGGAAACAACACATGATAAATTCTTAGCACAATGTGATTCCCCTCCTTCCACCTCCTCCCCACTTCAGAAAGATTTAACATCTAATTCAGCTTTTGACGAGCTGCTCCATCACCGCGGGAGTGCTGCTGATCCCTGTCGGAACCCGCGGCCTTGGACACAACAAACTGAGAGCGGGGGAAAATTTTGGCCGTCTGTAATGATAAATAAATACATTACAGGGTACAACTCTGGGGAATGGAGGCTGACACTGACTGAGCACCGTGACCTCCACACAACTGCCAAGTCTCAGCCGCTTCACAAAAGTCAACTTTTGTTTGCCTTCCCCCCTCCCTCCCCAATGACAATTTCTTAAAGAGCAAATACAGGATGGAAAGGGAAAAAAAAAAGTAAAACCAATACAAGACAGAGAGCTCACAAACCCTCCTCATCTGCTGCCCAGAGGCAGTTTGGTTTTGACAGAAGAGTATTTAATTTCTTTGGTCTTCTGGAAATTGGGGGAAACCAGTCCATGCTGCATCAGCAGCAGCGGGACAGGGGAGCTGTGCCACAGGGAATGCTCAAATCCCTTTTAAAAAAGTTTTTGCATTAGGATGTGCCTGCCTTCAGGCTAGTTCTTGGCTCCAATTTGATTTTCTGTCTACTTAAGTCCCACTCACAAAATCAAATATGTATTGCAGCTGTTGAGTCTTCACATTGATGGCAACAGTAACTAAGTAGAGAGGAAGGAATTGGTTAGACAAGCAACCTCCTCATCCCTGGAAGCCTCACCCACTTGTATCAACCTGTCCCTAGACTCTCCTTTCCCATTTCTCTCCAGTTGTACAGAAAGGTGGTACCTGCTGCGACCTCTCCTCGTTTTACACATGCACAGAACGATAAATACATGACAAAGTCAATGAAGGGAAAAGCCAGGTATGGACTGCAAGTGTTAACTCTTGTGTCCGTGTTGTGCTTATCATAAGGTATTATTCCATTAACTCCATTAACATTTATTCCATTAACTCCATGTGCTTTGTGGGAAGCACAGAGAATTCAGCTTGATCACACAAGCTCATGGCCAAGCCCTCAAAGCCCTTCAAAAACTTACAGCAAGGAACAGCACAGAAAAGCCTTCCCTGACTCTGACAGAGCTAATCCCAGCCCAGAGAGAGAAGAGCCTCCCCAGCCTGGTGCTGATCAGCCCCTGGCTCGTTGAGCCCTTCCTCTCAGGCACAGAGCCCGTGTAGCTCCACCACTCCTGCAGCCACCCCAGCATCTCCTCCAGCCCTGCACTGCACGTTCCATGTGCTCCAGCTCCCTCCAGGCTGGCTCAGGGACATGTGGCACAGCTTGTTCCAAGGGTTTCCTCTGCTCCCCCCAGAGCCATCTCCTGCCAGCTCACCCTGTCCTCCTGCTGCTGCCACCAGGCTCTCTCTCCACAGCTTGGGGTTTGCAGATCATCTGACTCATCATCTATTCACCAAAGCACCTATTTAATCCACTCTGCTCACAGTTACTACTATTAAAATACTTTGTATTTTCAAGTGTCCTGTGACTACTTATATTTCATAATGTCCTTCTTATGTCCCCTGTCACCTGCACTTTGTATGAACAGCAGAGTGGATAAGGGAGAGGTGATTGGACTCCCCGAAACAGTGGAAGACTCATTATTCAGTCCCTTTATCTTTTCTCTCTGGTTTACATTTTTAATTTCTCAATCTATCT